TCATTTCCAGTGCTGGCTCTTCTTAGCTGCAAGTTTCTTAACCTCTCTGGGTGCCCCACTTCTTACTTTTCTCCTCTGTTCCCCATAAGTGTGGGAGTTACATTTTGACACTATACATCTAGGAAATGACCTGATCTCTCTAGTCAAATATTTTTATGCGTACTTATTTGAATCGGTAACACATACATATGGTTCAAAAAATTTTAAATTATAAAGAGAAATTCTATGCCATCTCCCTCCTGCTTGCTTTTCTCTGGGTGTCCCTGTTCCAGTCCTCAGTTTTATTTTACAAATTGAGAGGATGTGAATGGCAAGCTAAGCAAGATGACTAGATTTAATCTGAATGAAAGGGATTTATTCTCAAGTGATACTGTACAAGGTGATTATTTGTCCCCTTATAGCCTCCCCCATGTTTTCTGAGCAGCATTCAACTAAAGTACTAAACAGTCACAGTGCCTTTTCAAGAAATTTTGACTTTGAACTTGCTCATGTGCAAAGGAAATGGTTCAGCCGTTTCTCTAGAACTTGGTTGATAATAAATTTCCTTTTGTTCCACTTATAATTTTCTTTTAAAAATTTGCCTTTTTCTACTGTTGCATAGGGTGGAAGGAATAACGGAAAGATTTATTGTGGCCCGCTTTTAGATGTTTATACATTAGGCCAGGACAAAGAATACAAGAATTAAAAGCATACATACAAAATTACTTACTTTCTCTTCAGTTTATTCAATATTTGTAACCCTTCTGATTAAGATTGCTTACCTCTGGATGCTAACCAATTATAGGGAAAGGCGTGTTGAACAAATGAACAGTAGTGTAAGGAGAATAGCTAGGCAGGCTATTAAAAGGTGTATCTAGTCCAGTACCTGGCACACAGTAGATGTAGGACCACTGCTATATAAAATGTCTGATCTATTAAAGCATGCTTGAACTACTGCCATGGTAACCAAATATTTTCTGCACATCTTTGGGTTTACAAAGCAAATTAAAAATCATTAAAAAAAAAAAACAAACACAACCATCTCTCTCTATGCAAAGGGCTACAAGGACCTTACTTTTCCATGACAATTTTGGCTTGATCTAAAATATGGTACATTATTTTGCAAGAACTGAGGAGCAACACTCCCTTCTCCCGGTATCTGACACTGGAGACGTACTGCGCAGGAAGTTGTGATCAAAATCTAGCTCAATTCACTTAGGAAAGTAACGTAATTACGACATCCACCCCCGTCAGGAAAGGGTTTAGGTTTAAGCATACACAACAGGCCACACGCTATGGATCATGGCAGACATCTAGCGTTGGAAGTTGCTGCATTTATTTATGGGTGAAGTTTACATTTTCCCCTGTTCTATTAATAGAATTCTTAACTCCTTTCATCATTTACTCAGTCCACAGACGTCTCTTAAGAGCCTATCAGGGACCCAAGAGTGAAGATCCAGTGCCTATCCTCAAGGAAAACACAATCCGAGTGAAGATTTCCTTTTTCCATACTCATCGGGGTGGCGCTTTTATGGCGCTGTATTGCTCTTCTCAGGACCAGGTGCCCGACGTGCGGCTCTCCCTGGCGGGCCGGGGCGGGGCGGGGTCAGCCGAGCCGCCGCCGTCGCCGCCTCCGCCGCTGCCCCCGCGCGCTCCCTCCCGCGCAGTCTTTAATTTCGCAGCTCCGACCACCGGAAATTAGCCGCGGGCGGAGGGTACGGGGCAGAGCGTGGGGGAGCATGCGTGGGGAGGGCGCGCCCGCCAGCCTAGCCGGGCGCCCGCGGGACGCGCCGCCAGCGCCCTCTCCGCCGGGGGCTCGACGCTCGCCCACCTTTTCCAAATTTAACCATTACCTAAATCCGAAGGGAAATGAGCAAACCTCTCGGATTGGGTGTCAAGGTATTTTCAGCTTCGTTGGGCGTATTTATCCCGAAGTGTTTCCACAACAAGCTATTTCGGGGCAGAGGGGCAGGTTTCGCTCTGCGGACGCCGCGGCCACTCGCCGGGCTCCAGGCCGGCGGCAGCGTCGGCCGGTGATTCACGGCCTCAACCCGGGGGTGGCCAGCCCAAATAGGCGGCGGGGTGGGGGTGGAGGTGTCCCGGGGCAGAGGGGCGGGGAGGCCTCGTTGGAGCTAGGCGCTCCCACTCCCCGGCGCTCCACTCAATCTGTGTCCTGAATCTGTGACTTCTTCTCGCTGCGGAAGTCTCCCGAGAGCCAATAATGGTTCATTTTCTTTTGAATCATTTCTAGTGCCTGGGTGTTGGGCTCTCCGGGCCTCCCCATCCTCCGCAGCCCCACAGAGCAAAAACGCGGAGGACCTCCTGGGAGGGCGGCTGGAAAGGCCAGGCCCCGGGTCCGCCTCCTAGCCCCTTGCGCAAAGGAGCGCGCCCAGACTGGGGGTTGGGGGGCAGGTCTGAGAGGACTAAGAGAGCTACTCCTTAACGCTCAGGAAGTGAAGCTTGTGGTTTTGGGGGCTGAGCTCGGAAGGAGATTAAAAAAAGAGAGAGAGAGAGAGAGAGAACGCAGTGTCTCCCGAAAGCAACTCAGTTTGAAAACTCGGAGCGCAGTGCCGGTGCCCTGACCCCGCAGGTAGGTCCGCTGCGCCCGTTCTGCGCCTGCCCCCCTGGTGGGGGCGGCCGCGGGGACTAACGGGGCACCGCCACTGCGGGGGCGACCAGAGGGCGCTGCCGGGTTCCCGCCTGCAGCTGGCCACTGTGCGGGAGCCCCGAGAACCGTATCCGCAGGGGATTTGGCGCAGGGGAGCAGGATTCATCCGGGAAGGAAACATCTGGTGGGGAGGCGGTGGCAACTGCGATCAGGAGGCTGCCCCTCCGTGCCTCCACTCCCGCCTTCCCAGGCCCAGACGGTGAAGAGAGGCCCTGGCCCGCGTGCGCTCAGGGGGCCGCCCCGCCCTCCCGCCGCCAGCTGCTGCGCGAGGTCGCCTTCCCACGCGCTCAGCCCTCGTCCCTACTACCCAACCCACTCCACTCTCCCAGGGTCGGGTAGGGCCAACCCGGCATGCGAGAGAAGAGCGGGGCTCCGCCTGGGTGGAGAGGCCGCCTCTGTGCTCGCCTCATCCCGCGCGGTCCCAGCCGGCGCAGGCTCTGCGCCCGCGCTGACAATTCCCCCTGCCTCCCCGCCTCCTCCGACCCACCTCGCGCCGACGCAGACCCAAGCCTCAGCAGGGCCCTCAAGACCGTTTCGCCCCATTTTCCTTTACCTCTGAGTTTCATGGCTGCCTAAGGAATTCGTTTTTGCGTTTGTGGTGTCTATAAGGCCGAAGTGGCGGCTCACGCAGAGGCCCAGGGAAAACTGTGGTGGCAGGACTGCGCCCTAGGGCAGCCCCAGCACCCCCAAGCCTCCTGAAGTCCCGATCCTAGGGGCGGACTCAGACCGTGGCGGGTGGCACCCTCACTCCCAGGGGCCTTCTGGCTCTTAGGACTCCGGAAAGGTCCCTTGGGATTCCGATAGACGTCCCAGACGACTCTTCTCCCAAGCCTGTCCCCACTCCACAGTAGGACGTGGGATGCCCTCTAGGGAACGAGTCCCTGAGAACTCGTTTTCAGCTCGGAGCGCCAACAGGTAGTCTTAGTGTCCTGCATCCTGCTCTGAGAGCCGCGTAGCTCCTAGTCTGGCAGCCTAAGACGCGCGAAGGCCAAGGACGAGATCCTTGTCCCCGCCTGTGGTCCCCCAGCACCCTTGTTACTGAACTAGCCTAGACCATGGAGAGCTGCTGTACCCCCAAGAGCCTGCAGCTCCCAGGTGAACGCGGCGCCCATCGCCTTCACTCCGAGAGGAAGGCAAATTTCGAGTTCCCTAGACCTCCTTGCCTGCCTGGTTCCGCCCCCGAGCAGCCCCAAGCGGAGCTGGAGGCTCTGCCCCGCCTCACCGCCGGGCTCAGGTTTCGACCCCGGGATTAGGTGAACTGATTGGGGGTTAATGAGAGCGGCGCGGCGGGCAGCTAGCTCCCTCCCAGGCCCGCTCCTGGACCCCGGCGCACTGGCCGTGGCAGCGCACCCTGCGCTCTCCGCGTTGGATAATCTGTTGTTTCTCCGCGGACTACAGACGCCGGGCAGTTCACAGCCATCGCGCACAAGTCGGGCTCGACTTCCCCTAGACAAGGTTTTCGGTGAGCAGAACGAAAAAATGCTTTTTCCTAGGACTTGGTTTCCGAGGTTAGGTCTCGCCCCAGACTCTGCTTGCCCCCGCCGCACTCGCGTCTCCAGGCCAACCTTTTCCTCGCTTGAGGAGCGAGGGAGATCACGGGTATGCGATTTCCACCCGGGGCCGGGGTCAGTCCTCTGCCATCTCCCCTCCCGCCACCTTCCTGTTCCTCTTCTCTTCTGCCTTCCTTCTCCAGCCTCTGCTGCTCTCAGCCCCTCTGCTGCTCTCTCCCAACCTCTGCTCAGCCAGCCTAGTGCGCCCCTCCTCTCCCACCACCCGCCTCCGGTTTGTAGCGGGCTCTTGGAGTGCTTGGCTTGTAGCCCCTTCCTGGTCCCCGATCCCTCGGCCCTGGAGTGATCAGCCCGTCCCTGCTCTACTCCCCAGCCCGAAAACTAGGCCAGGCAGGCAAATGAGTGGTTGAGTTGGGGTAACTGGCCAGTTGGGGACATCGGCTCTCCGGAGAGTTTGACGGAGCGAGTTTTGCTAGGAAAGGGGAGGGGCCAAGGGGTGTGGGCCGAGCAGAAGGAAGAGGCCTGAGCCTCAGCCCCGGGACGGGTTTTACCGCTGAGCTGTGGCGGCGGCGGCGGGCTCGCGCCACCTGTCCGAGTGCCACCTGGTGATCGCGGCGCAGCGGGGCCAAGCCCCTCCTCCCGCAGGCCTCCCTCGCTCCTCCCCGGCTGAAGCTCTCTTTCCACCCGGCTCCCCAGTCCCCGGCCCAGGAGCGTGCGGACCCGCGTTTCCACCGGGTTCTTCTCTTTTGGCAGGTCTCCGCCTGACTGGGGCAGAGCAAGAACTCGAAGTGACAGTGGGCTGACGGCGGCTCCAGGCAGCGGAGTGGGGAGCGCGCCGGACCACCATGCCGCGTTCGTTCCTTGTCAAGAGCAAGAAGGCTCACAGTTACCACCAGCCGCGCTCCCCGGGACCCGACTATTCCCTCCGCCTGGAGAATGTACTGGCGCCAGGCGGAGCAGGTGCGGGGCGCGCGCGGACCGGGAGGGGCTGCTCCCAGGGACGTAGATTGTGCGCCCTGACACACCATCCCCAAAGGAGCCGGGCAGGGCGACCCTGAAGCCTCCTTTGCTGCCTTTTTTGTTTCCAACCGTCCGGGTCCCTTCCGGGCTCGTCGCCTAGGTGCCACGGCCTCTTTGCTCCGGCCCTCGGATCCGGAAGGGTTCCCGGCCAGGTCTGGGAAAAAAAGAGGACGCCCGGGTGCCACGGGTTGGGGAGGCGCCACTTCAGAACCATTGGCCCCATTCAGGGCTCAGCCTGAGCTCCTATCCTGCCTCCTCTCCGCAGACAGCACCTCGAGCGCAGGAGGGGCGAAGACAGAGCCCCGGGGTCGTTTGTCCCCCGACTCACAGATGACTGAGGCCCCTGACAGAGCCTCCGCATCTCCGGGCAGCTGTGAGGGCAGCGTCTGCGACCGGAGCTCAGAGTTTGAGGATTTCTGGAGGCCTCCGTCGCCCTCTGTGTCTCCAGGTAGGAGCTGGTTGGGAGCTTTGGGGCCGGGGCAGCAGGGTTCCCACGGTGAAAAGTAAACTAACTCAGCTTTGGGTTCAGAGATGCTAAATGGATGGCGGAGGGTCTTTCCGACAGGAGAGCGCGTGTTCGTGGGGTAAGGAGCCCGTAGGGGAGGCATCTGGCTTTTCTGGGACTGCGTCAGCCTGTTTGCGGGGTCTGTTGCTTGGATCCGAGGCGGCGGGACCCGGGTTGTTAATCTCTAACGTTCGTTTGGCGGAGATGGTGGGTGAGAGAAAATAAATGAGTCGTCTCGACAGGCAGCAACCTCGACATTTCGTTTTCTGATCAGTTGACTGCTTAGAAAGAGCTAGGATCCCCAAATCCAGACGCTGGAGTCTCAAACGGAAACCTGGGCAGTCTTTAAAAATTCCTCTGGCTCCCGCAAGCATCGGGCCTGGCAGAGCTGGGCGCTAAGCGGGAGGGAGGGGTCGGTCCGGAAATCTCTGCCCTCCTCTGAGTTTTTGCAGGCGCGGATTGGGGGCCTGTTTGATTTTTCGTTCGGTGGGGTTGGCCGGCCCAGCCTTAGAGACCAGTCGGTTGGCTACATTTCCAGACAGCAATGGAGTTTTGCGCAAAGTTTTGTGCACTTTGGGTGGGAGTGAGTCGTGGGTTCTGATCGGGGAAGGAGAACACACATTAGCTGCATTCTGCCAGGTGCCTGTTATTTCCAGATTGCCTTTACTAGTTTTAAAAGATAGTCCCAACCCCATCCCTCAGTGCGTTGATCTGGCTAAAGCCATGGCTGCAGCGAATGTATCTGGGAGCCTGCAACCCCATGATTCTTCATGGCTGTGCAGGACACCGCCCTCCAAGACGGGGTGCCGGCAATCTCTCCGCGGGAATCTTGGGGTGCATCCTCATTAAAACGGCTAGCCTGGAGTGTGCAGTGTGGGAACAGCTTCGTAAATCCGTATGCAAATAAGGAAAGGATACGTTGGGCAGCGGCACAGAGGCCTCGGATGTGGGAAAGCTATGGCACTGGCAGATGGTGGCTAAACCTTGTCAATTCTTCTCTGAGAAATGTGGTTTTTTCACCATCAAGCTATGACAAGAATGAGAATGGGGAGTATGTGGCAGGTAGTTCAAGCTCCAAACCTTCTCCCGCTGTCCCTTTGCTACTTGCACTGGGTATTGAAGGAACTGTTAGGAATGTTAATACTTCCCCGTTTTTTTCCCAGACAGATGTCTTCGGTAGGCCGGGCTGCATTTTATTTGTCCTCTCCCTCCTTCCTTATCGATCCCGGAAAGAAAAAAGACGAGTGGGAATCTGTAGGGGCCGGGAGAGTGCTGGCGCTGGGCGCTGGGCAGTCTGCGCAGGAGCGCTGTCGGGCACTAAGGGGGGCCGCCTTCTCCTGCTCAGCTCAGCTCAGAGCAGTTATCAGCGCAGACGGCGTGGCGCGCTTGTTTTCGTGGCACCGCGAGTTGCTCCGGTCCCACCAGAAAAGACCCTCCTAACGTCGTGCGTTTCCGCTGCCCTGGCACTAAATTTACCCATCTCCTCGACCGATGCCATTTTAATTATCCGTTTGCTGCCCTGCCGCCTGCAGCGATCCTCGAGGTCCCAGAGACCCGGTCCGCGTTTTACTCTGGGGGCGTCAGGGCACCTACTGCGGCGCCTGGCGCACGGAGTACTCCACCAGTGCTGGGCAGCTGGCAGATGCCGCTGGGCGGCCTCCGCCCCGCCGTCTGAAGCCTGACCGGACGCCCCCTTGTGCCTCCACAGCCTCAGAGAAGTCGGTGTGCCCGTCGCTGGACGAAGCCCAACCCTTCCCCCTGCCCTTCAAGCCATACTCGTGGAGCGGCCTAGCGGGTTCTGACCTGCGGCACTTGGTGCACAGTTACCGGCCGTGCGCGGCCCTGGAGCGCGGCGCGGGCCTGGGCCTCTTCTGCGAGCGCGCCCCGGAGCCAGGCCACCCCGCGGCGCTCTACGGCCCGGAGCGGGCTGCGGGCGGCGCAGGGGCCGGGGCGCCCGGGGGAGGCAGCGCAGGAGGTGG